ACACACACACACACACACACACACACACACACACACACACACACACACACACACACACACACACACACACACCTGTCCCAGTCACCAGTGTGCATTAAGGTATTTGATGGTTTCATTGAGCAGTACGCTGGCACACCTGCACCAGGGRTCCTCCAGGGCCAMTAYCCTGCATGTTTTACTCGTTTCTCTGCTTGTCTTAATTACCTCTTCACGTTCTGCAGAAGCCCATTAATCACCAATTCATTCATATCAGGTGTGTTGGAGCAAAGAAAGCTTTATTGGCTCTGGAGGACCAGGATTGAGCACCCCATTCACATCAAACTTGAACCAAACAACGTGTTCCTCTGTACATGTGTGAGTGTGTACCTGTTRTTTGTTACCTTTTTAGGACCTTTTGTTAAATAAGCAGCTGCCTTGTCAGGACCTGTAGCCCTGTTTGAGGACCAGTGACTGGTCCTAATACAGTGGAATACCATTGGAGGGTTAGGGGTTGGKTTTAGGTTATRTACTGTGGATGGTTAAGTCTAGATCAGGGTTAGGCTAMAGAAATGGTCAAAAGTCAAAACACAGTTCTAATAAGAATAGTAAAACAAACTTGCATGTGTGTATAGAGCCAAAGTAAGGTTGTCTCCKTGTGTGGTTCAAATGCTTACAACAACTTAAACCAGTTCAAACAAGTAAAGACACAACGTACTGTGAGATTTCGTTGGATTGGTGCTSTAATATGTTATTTTTGGCAAAGGTTCCTGAGGGTTTTATTTGACCAAATCAGACAGTTCCAGCTTGAGTTCAAAGACTTCAACAATAACAGGACTATGATCTGCTGTAAGTGGAGAAGAATAAAACTTTAGTTACTGACAGTATTTCTGTTAGAGACTTTAATATAAAGTTTAAATGTGCAAAGACTAATCCATGAAGAAATAGGATTTGGAGTAGGTGGCAAGAGTCTTTTCCCTGTTTGGTAATTTTTCCATTTTGTTGCCTTAAAACCTGGAAAATCTTTATTTAAAATAACTGTAAAAATGTTAAACTGAGAAGTGGTTCATGCATATGAATTCAATCCCTAAACTTTATTTATAAGTAAAACAATAACCTTCAGAATCAACATCAGATCAAACCCTCTAAGCAGCAAGACCCATCACCAATCAAAGGACATCATGAAGACCAAGGAACTCTCAGCACCCCACATAGCAGACAGGTGTGGGTCAGATCTGGTGTCAAGCTGGCCCTGTGGGCTGACTGCTGGCATGGCAAGAGGTTTGTCAACTGAATTATGGGCCAGGTCTGGCAATGATGGTACTGTTTTTAAGATGGCATGCCACATCTGGCCCAGTTGTGGTTTGGTTAATGCAGTGCTGGCCCATGCATGGACCACACCTGGCAAACCACATCTGGGCCATCATTCTTTGCAGGATCTGGACCAACTGTTAGTGCATTGTGTGGTTCAGAACTGGGCCAGACATACTTTGCTATGTGGGACAGGTCAAAGACAACATTGYTGAGAAGCTGGGCCACCTTAATGTACAAGCTTACCTGGGCTGAAGCTCAGGGGTCTTCAGCGCTGGGGGGCTGATCGTTTTGAGGTCCCATAATGAGCCGAAAATACATTGTTCTGTAAGTTGTCAGGTTTTCTGTCAATCGTTACAGATGTATTTTTGTGGTCGCTGATTGGTCCAAACTAATATTAACCCATGTGAGCTCACGTGCTCTGACCAATTAGAGCATATATTGTCAGCTTTGGGTGTGTCCCTTGATGATTGACTGACAGCTGCCAACATGTCGGGTCAGGGAAGAAGTTTGTGACCGGTGTATTTGTCAGAAATGTTTTTAAAGGATATCAAGCAACAGACGCTGGCAGAACTTTTTGAACCAGCTGYCTGAACAGATGAACCTGCAGAAGGATGATTGCTGCCTCAAAACGTCCTGAGAGGAGGACGAGGCGCRGCCCACGCAGGTGGATGCTCCGTTAGCTGGAGAGGGGGTAAGTGGAGTGGAGGAGTGCAGGAGTAGCAGAGAAGACCAGGGAGGGGAGACAAGTCTGATCACCTGTAAAACACTGACCCGGGTCACTGGGTCAAAAACATCAACCAACAGGTGYGTGAGTTCTGGGAGAAAACAGGTCAGGTGTTGATTGCTAAAGGTGACCTATAACCATCAAACATTTTCTATTGCTAATGTTCTGATGTGGCCACAACTCCTACATTGGTTTTACGGCACCTGGAATTTACATATYGTTTTCCATCCAAGTACTAACCAGGCCTGAWGCTGCTTAGCTTCCAAAAGCAGAMAAGTTCAGGTGTGTACAGGGTGGTATGGTCACTCACATAGGTAGCTCTGKTATTATTACTGCAGACAGGTGAGAGTGGCTAAACAGAATATGTCTCCAGGCCCTACACCTTAAGTAGATGGTAAAMGATAAACAAAACCAAATGTTACTATAAACCTTGAGCATAACATTTTACCAGTTGGAACATAGTGTACTGTAGTTTGCTGCTAACTGAGCTCACTCACTAAAAGCTGAATGTGTGAGGATGGGTAAACGAGGACACAGACTGAGTAGTTAGGCACTTTAAGTAGCCTGTTGGTTAGACATGTGCTGTGTAAATACAGCCATTGTGTCATTTATTGGTTTGAATGGTACTCAGTGTTGAAACCTTTAAAATGTGATTAATTTTT